ACTATTTTTGTTTTACTTGTAGGGTTGCAGGGTGCTTGTGAGGATTCGCTACTTAAGTAAGTTTGTGTGAGCTTATGCAATTTACTTACGCTCACCTTCACAGGTGACATTTGGGCTTCTAGTGAAAATATCAGCTTCTTATGATGCGATCTGCTTGTGACGATGCCACATGAAACTGGTCCTGTCATCAGGCACACCTACTATGGTATAATCAAAACAGGTTAAAGACATGATTTTTTAGAACTGGTGACCTCATCTGTGATGCTAAGTTGCTCTGTTTTGATCTCTCCTATGTAAAATTCAATAATGCAAGGAATTGGGAATGATCAGACGACCGTATCTTAAGGCAGCGATGACAGGCCCTCCGATCCTAAAGGAACACACACACACACACACACACACACACACACACACACACACACACACACACCCATTACCTGCCCTTCCTGCAAATTGTCATACCAGAGTCCTGCCTTGCAAAAGCAGCTCCTTGACTAGGCAGCCACGCGGGGAAACCAAGTTGAACCGGGTCGTGTTCCCTCTTCCTGGGGCTCTGGGAGGACTGGGGAATGGGGGCTGGTGACCAAGACAGATCTGTGATCCAAACCTGCAGTTTCCTGTGAAGCCACTAATCCCACCTTGATGGGAATTGTGGTCTGGAAAGTGTCCCTTCCATCGGATTCTTTCTCCCCACTCGTCGCTAACATATGACCCCATCTGCAGCATCACGAAGGTGTCAGAAGCCTGGATTGTCTTTTAGTGCCTGGTTTTTGTGCCTGGTTTTTGCGCCTGGTTTTGCGGCAGCGTTTCCCGCCTTGCCAGTATCAATCACAACATCCTTACAGGCTGCGTCCAGGCCCCGTACTTGGGAGTCATGAAGGATGCGTACATAAAACCTGTGCCTGTATTTATACCATCTCTCTTTGCTAGTTCACAAGACTGAGTATCTCACTTCGTGCCCCCCTCCCAAAAAAAACCTAGTGTAATACTAGGTTAACAAAGTCCCCTCTGTCTCCTTGTACGCACAAGGCCTAACTCCGTAATTCAGACTTAAAGTGACAGAGGACTGACTGGATAGAGCATCAAATAGCAAAAAGCTGTAGCACAAACAGGCACCCAGAGAGGGACACGGTGGTGGACGGGCTGAGTTTCCTCACGTTATGCCTCACTGAGGGTGACATAAACACCCATGGGATGTTTCCTGAGTAAGGCTGCAACCTTTTGTTCTTTGTCCAAGTAACAATCTGAAATTAGTGCCTTGGATGCAGAACACATGTAGCATCTGAAAAGAAACAAGATCGGATGCCTTTGGGGGCTGTCAGCACCTTTTCCACCAAAATCAGAAGTGTTTGGCCTTCGTGTGTGTGTGTGTGTGTGTGTGTGTGTGTGTGTGTGTGTGTGTGTGTGTGTGTGTGTGTATGTGTTGCCAGATTGATCTTACCGACAAAAGGCTCCCATTGGAACCTTGAGGCTTATTGAGAGCCACTGGAAAACGACACCCTCCCATCAAACCTCCCATCCACTGGGTTTTCATGACAGGGCGCCATGTTCCTGGCTCAGTGCCAGCGACCTTGCATGTCTGCCCCAGAAAACTGTCCACTGGTGACAAGTTAGTGGAAACAACTCTAGGGCACTTTCTAAGCATTTGGGCTGAAGGAATAGAGGGCATGAAAACGGGTCAGACTCCAGATGCAGACGGAGGTCAGGCAGGCCCTTTCATAATGGAGCGCGTTGTTCTGTGGATTCAGATTAACCCTGATCAAACTCCCAAAATAAAGGCCTAATCCAGCTTATTCTGCACGGTGGGTGAAGTCTGACATTCTGACAGTATTATCTAGAGAGAGGACTCCGTGGTTTCTTCTCAGTGCTGGACGTGCTCAGTAGCTGTTGGACAAGCAATAAGCAGACTCAGGTTAAACAGTCCGTGTCTAGAAAACGCTACTAGCTTCTTATTGTCCAGTTGTATCTCAGGCAAAGGTATGAATGCCTTGCAACAGGCCTGTCTTGGGTCTGCTTCCCTAGGAGCAAAACCTGAGACAGGGATCCTTGCACAAGTGTGTCATTAGGGAGTGCTCTCAGGAGAAGAGGACAGGCAGGGGGAAAGAGGCAGGGATGCAGTCCTGGCTCCACCCTCATTTCAGCCTGAGGCTGCAGCAGGTTCTGGGGCCCAGCTTGCACTGTGGAATCAGCCCAGCTTGAGGTACGAGGCCAGACCGCCAGAACCCTTGGCAGCGGTTAGGGGAGGTAAGTGGAGGGAGAAAAGGCCCCCACACCAGTGGGACCACAAGGTCCGACAATTAGGCTTGCAAACCATCCTAGAAAAAGTGCTCCATTGCTGAACATCACTACGGCCACCTTCGAGTCCTCCCCTTGGGAGTCTGTGCACCGATGTCAGTGCCTAGTCCACCCGTCAAAGCAATGTTGAAATTCTTTTTGTGGAATGGCCATCAGAGCTGTCATCGTTATACGGTGAGGTCTGACATGCTCACAAACTCGCCACTGTGCGCTTACGTTGGCAGCACTGTGCAAATAACTGTATCGGAACACCCTCCCTACTCACCTGATCTGGCCCCCCAGTGACTTTTTTCTTTACCTGAAGATAAAGGAAATATTGAAAGGAAGACATTCGATGACATGCAGGACATCAAGGGACTATGACAACAACTCTGGTGGCCATTCCAGAAAAAGAGTTCCAAAATGGCTTTGGCAGGTGGACGAGGCGCTGGTGTCGGTGCAGAGCTTCCCAAGGGGAGGACTTGAAAGGTGACCATAGTAATGTGCAGCCATGAGTCAGGGAGCACTTTTTCCAGGAGTTCGCAAACTTCATTGTCAGATCTTGTAAATCTAAAGGAGCCGTGCAATGCGAGAAAAGAAGCAGTCCCTGGCCTCACTAAGGCCATGATGGCATGGCCGTGGGCCCATTGCATGGCCTCTCTAAGCATGGTTTTCTCCTCCGTAAAATGGAAGAGTGAAAGAGTGAGGTGGCAGGTTTGGATTAGATGATCCTTGAACTGCCAGCTCTGAAATGCAAACATTTCAACAAGGGACCCAGTGGGGAGGCTCACTGAGTAGTAAAGGATGGCTTTTTTCTATTCCTGGAAAGGAACTAATGAAGTTGACTATACCCTGAATGACCACTCCAGGCAAATCTAAGAAGACAAGCCGTGAAATTGCCCTGAAGGCATATTTTCTAGAAAGGGTGGCAAGACTCTGTCTTTAAACAAAGTGTTTTGAGAGCAGTTTACCTCAAGGGAGCATTAATGCATAGATGACCTCATTTAACTGATTCCTCGAATGGAAGTGAATCTTAAGCAAGAGACCAGTATAAAGCCCCGGCCAGACGCTGTTCCTGAAAAATGGCGCGACTTCTATGGGAAAATTCTATCAACATTATAAATACAGAGGGTGCCCCAAAAATGTATACACATTTTAAGAAAGGAAAACACTGTGTTAAATGGCAATACTCAATAAGAGGAATACAAGTCATGTTTGACTTCTGCAATTACAAAAGGTGCACAGAGTGGTGACCATCAGCTTCCAGACACTTCTGATTATGGCAAACATCTCTTAAATTGTGCATACATTTTTTGGCACCCTCAGTATATTTACTCTTTGACCTCGTAGTTTCCCTTCGTGGAATTTAGCCCACAGAAATATGTGTATGAAATGATATTTATGCAGATTTTTCACTTTGCCACTTTTTAAAGATTGGAAAGAATTCAATGGGCCACCAATAAAAGGCTAGTTAAAAAAAAAAAAAAAAAAAAAGCAACTGTGGTGCCATCCATACAATGAAATCCTATGCAACCAATAACATCTATACTGATACAAAAAGTTCTCCAGGAAATATTGATTATGAAAAAGCAAGTGGAAGAACAGTGTTTTGAATAATAGTATTTTACCATGAACACATATGTATGTTTAATAGAAATGTAATAACTTTGTATGACAAATGCAGCTCATAAGAATATATATTTTCAAAGAACCAAGTATCACATGTTCTCATTCATAAGTGGACCTTGAACAACTATTGTAGCACTATAAGAAAGGGATTGGCAGTAGTTGGAAACTGCCAGGGGAGGGCAGGGGCAGGATTGGCAGTAGTGGGAATCTGCCAGGGAGGGGCAGAGAGCCACACCTCATCAACAAGGGTACCTGCATAATGAACATTTGTCTACCTAACCTTGAATTGTACCCCACACCTTTAAAATAAAAAAATTTTTAAAGCACATGTATTTATAATCAAGTGTATCCCTAGATATCAGGAAGTTGTTTCTTGTGTTCCTCAAAAGAAATGACTGTAACGGGCTACTATAAGGGTTGAGAGAGTGCGGGCGTGGGATTGACGAAGACATAGGTGGGAATGTAAAATGTAAACTGCAAAATGTTGTCCCTCACAGAATTGTTGGAAGTGCCTCCCCCTTCGCATTGTTTGAAAGTTTACAAAATGTGTGCATGTCAGCAAGGAACTTAGCACACAGTTCCTGTTCTTGTGAGCATCTAATATTGTAATGTTTATATATATTTTAACCTTTATTTAGGACTCGGGGGTACACATGCATATCTGTTACATGGACATATTGTATCGTGGTGGGGATTGGGTCTCAGGTGGCCTGTTCCCCAGATAGTGATACCTAATATCCCATAGGTAGTTTCTGAACTCTGACCCCTCCCCGCCTCCTTCCTTATTGGTGTCCCCAGTGTCTGTTATTTCCACCTTTGTGACCATTTAGCGCCCACAAATGAGTGAGATCGTGCAATGCTTGATTTCTGTTTCTGAGTCAGTTCACTTAGGATGCTGATCTCCAGCTCCATTCATGTTGCTGCAAAAGACACGATTTCAATCTTTTTATGACCCTGTGGTCGTCCACGGTATATACATACCACATTTCATCAGTCAATTGGTAGGGGGCACTTAGGTTGGTTCCATTATTTTGCTGTTGTGAATAGTGCTGCAATAAATATACGAATGTTTGGGTTTTGTTTTTTGTTTTTAACAGGGTGATGACCAGTTCAATGTATTTGGAGAGGACACCGTGGGAGGTGAGTTTCCCTTACTGACCAGACTGGAGTTGTCATTTCAGTAGATTTGAGCATGTTAAACATCAGCTAAGCGATAACAAAACTCCAACAGCATGTGCTTTATCCCTTACCCTGCACAACTAAGAGAGGAACTCTTTGGCACTCTCTCCCTCTGGCCATGTAAAGAGCCATAAGGGATGCATTGCTAAAGAGATACCTTTCCTACCTGCCAGGAACGTGACTCCTAAGATAGTGACAATAGGATGCTCTGGTTTGGGAAACACTTAACATTCAATCCCCATTGGAAGATTCACATAATAGCATGGCAAAGCTCTCACAAGTACTGCAGTAAAGAGAACTGCTAACTTTAATATTCTTCAAACATAATTAAAACACAAAACTCCTTTTCTGGGCCAGGTGCAGTGGTTCGCACCTGTAATCCCAACATATTGGAAGGCTGAAGTTGGAGGATTGCTTGAGCCCAGGAGTTCAAGACCAGACTGGGCAACATAGCAAGACCTCATCTTTACAAAAAATTTTTAAAAATTGACCAAACATGATGGTGTGTGCCTGTTATCCCAGCTACTCAGGAAGCTGAGATGGAAAGATTGCCTGAGCCCAGGAGATCAAGGCTGTGGTGAGCCGTGACCATGCCATTGCCCTCCAGCCTGGGTGGAGTGAGACCCTGACTCAAAAAAAAAAAAAAAACAACTCATTTTCTGCTTTGTAGTTACTATTCTGCAGTGTACCACTGGGGCCCAGCCTAACATACACCAGGATTATACTGCTTTGTAATTTTTGTCATATTAATAGTCTTGCAAAAACTAAAAAATCCAACCATAGTTAGCTATATGTATAACTGAAAATAGATAAAATTGTGTGAATTTGGGACTGTACAAAGATAAGGTTCATGATTGTCCTAGGTAAAATACTTTCTAACATTTCTACTCTGCAATAAAAGTCGTTAAGCCATGATTCATGGAAATATGTTTATAGTATTGACTGAGCAAATACTAGTAAGTGATTTTTTAAGTAACTGCAGTTCCAATTCTGCTCTGAGCCATGAGCATGAGGTTATAGATAAAGTGCCATTTGATGATAATGGCAACAGCAGAATAAGAAATTCACAATCACCAGTGACAACATGGTGATCGCTGGGAGAGACCCATAAGCATAACTGTGACATAGTTGACACATACTCAAGTGCCAACAATCAACTCAGTCTCCACTGGGTAGGGGATGACTGCCTAACAAAGTTTCCCTTTTCCCTCGTTATAAAATGAATACATACTCACTGGAGAAAGTTTTTAAGGTAGAAAATCAGAGCCAGTTAGAGCCTTATGACCTATAAATCATCATGGTTAACATTCTAGAATGCTCCGTTCCAGTGTGTTGCCTGTATACCTATTTTTACATGCCTGAGCATATATGTACTTATGCAAATATTATCTCAGAATCTTGGTGCATATCATAACAAAGACACATTCCCATGTCATCAAAAATTCTCTATAAACGTGATTTGTAATAACTACAGTGTATAAATGTTTGTACCGTCATTAATTTTAAAATAATGATTTTGAAAAATTTAAGCAGGGTACAATCATACCAAAAAATAATAATAACAATAACAACAGCCACACTGCTTTTCCAGACTGCAAATTGATCCAAAGTTGCTTGGCTTCATAGAAGTAAACTCACAGGCTAGAGAGCAGGAGATGACCACTTGGTCCCACATGTTGGAACATCAGCGTATCTGCCTTTAATAGAAAGCTCTAGAAAACATAAAATGTTTCCAGTCACCATGGGATAACTCTGTAAAGAGATTTGATTTGTTTAAATAGAGCAACACCAAAAAAATCATACTTTGCTGTGAAAACTGCATGGTTCCAAAGACAGAGAACTTCTTTCCTCTGCTTCCAGCTCTTTCACCTGTCTGTGTCCTCATTCCAATTCTTGTTCTCTCTCTCTCTCTCTCTCTCTCTCTCTCTCTCTCTCTCCTCCTGCCCTTCTCTAGCTGAGGCTTTCACTCAGCTAATTGTGGATTGCTGCAAAACTGTAGTGTTGTGTATATAAATGAACCATCCAATTCCCTAAAAAAAATGAGTTTAAAGCTTTTAGAAAGCCGGGCTCAGTGGCTCAGCCTGTAATCCCGTGCCTTTGGGAGGCTGAGATGAGTGGATTGCCTGAGCCCGCGGGTTCGAGACCTCATCTCTACAATAAAATCAAAAAATTAGCCAGTCGTGGTAGCGCGTGCCTGTAATTCCGGCTACTCGGAAGGCTGAGGCGGAAGGATCACTGGAGCCCAGCAGGTCAAGGCTGCGGTGGCCGGGCGTGGCCACTGCACTCCAGTCTGGGCGACAGAGTGAGACTCCAACTCAAATAAATAAATAAATAAATAAAGCTTTTAGAATGACGATCTAACTTTCAAAAGTAGTTATCATCCACATATAATACAAAGTGTTGTTATTTAAATATATTTATTTTAAGAGGAAATTTTATATCACTAGCTTAAATGAAAACTAGCATTATTTGCTGTAAAAAGGAACTATGTTTTCAAATATTGTTTTCTGGACACTCCACTTGTGTTTTAACTCCTCTTTATTATTATCAAAAGAAAGCTCAGCACTTTTTTTTTTTTTTTTGAGTTGGAGTTTCACTCCATCGCCCAGGCCGGAGGGCAGTGGTATGCTCACGGCCACCCCAGCGTCGACCTGCTGGGCTCTGGCAACACTTCCGCGTCAGCCTTCCAAGGAGCTGAAACTATAGCCACATGCTACCATAACTGGCTAATTATTTATTTATTGTAGAAGTGAGGTCTCATCAAGTTGCCTGGGCTGGTCTCAAGCCTACTAACTCAGGCAGTCCACTCTCCTTGGCTTCCCAAAGTACTGGGATTACAGGCTGAGCCACTGAGCCCAGCCAGTAAGTGTTTTAAAAGGTGAAATAATACCAAGCTGAGATACTTAAGAAGATTTCAAAGTATTTTTTAAAATTAGCTTTCTTCCTCATTCATGCTATTTAATGATGTCAGTTTTGCCACCAAAAATTGATAGTGCATGTTAAAATGAAAATACCAGGGGTGCATGCATCTTTTGTTATCGGTATATATTGCGTATTACTTTTTTTTTTTTTTGAGTCAGAGTCTCACTCTGTCACCCAGGCTGGAGTGCAGTGGCTCACTTATGGCCACAGCAGCTTCGACCTTAGGGCTCAGGTGATCCTTCTGCCTCAGCCTTCCAAGTAGCTGGAACTGTTACAGGCACATGCCAACACACCCAGCTAACTTTTTGATTTATAGCAGAGATGAAGTCTTGTCAAGTTGCCCATGCTGGTCTCGAACCCATGGGCTCAGGCAACCCTCTCACCTCCCAAAGTGCTGGGATTATAGACATCAGCCACCACGCCCAGCCAAGTATTACAATTTTAATACACTTTTTTTCCCCATTCTTAAAATGTACACATTTTTTGGTGCCCTCTCTGTATTACCTGGGTCTGGGAATAAGACTGAAATGATCATCAGTGCCTATTAAGTATACCCTATTTTTTAAATTTATTTTAAAATAGTAGGGTACAATTCAGGGTTAGGTGCACAAATATTCATTGTGCAGGTACCCTTGTTGATGAGATGTGCCCCCCCAAGTATAGCCTATTAACACACTTACTCAACTTTAAGTTTTCTTATCAAATAAAACTCCAAGATTTGAGTTTGTACATAACATGAGTAAAACCAAGACTTCAATACAGTATTTCTTGCCAATAACTGAAATTATTCTTATTTTAAAGGTTTCATGGAAGATTTGAGAAAGTATAAAATCATTTTCATGATTGGTGAGTAACAAACCTCACATTTTCTAATAATACAACTGCTAATAACAAGAATTTGGTGGTGAAAAAAAGTCTATTCGTTTCTCACCCTATTTTGAAGTCTTATCTCTTTTTTGGTCAAAATAGCACCTCCAAGTTTTCCAGACTGCTGCTTTCATCTATGCTGTTTTATATTGCTTTTTGATTTGTATCTTTTCAGCTTAGAAAAAATAGGGCTCAAAGGAATGATAAACTTCTGAGTGTAGCTCTATAATAATAAACTACTTTATAAGGGTAAGAGGATACCATCTGTTAAACTCTAACACACATCTTTTCTGTTTGAACGCCGACACTCTCCTTCCTAAGCATCCCTTACCACATATTCAAATTCATCTCAGTAGCTATATTCTATATGGCTAACAGCAAAATCAATCTAATTTGTTCTTTGCCCTAGTACAGTGAAACTTACTTCAAGTGAATTGTGGGGGGAAATGGATGTGTGGTTTTTCTGAGCACCTACTGTGCTTCAAGTGATCACATTTAATTCGGACACAAATCATACAGGTTGATGGCCTGTCCCTACTGCATATCTATTACATAGACGAGAAAACTGAGACTCAGAAGGTGAAGGAACTTGAAAATCACAAGGCTAATGAGTGTGAGAGCTGGATTTCCGGTTTTCCTCACAGAAATAGAGGGAACTCATTGTGCAGCAGTTAAAAATGCACAGAAGAGCACAAATATTGTCAGCACACTTCCCGAAACTTAGGACTTTTTCCTCTACTCCTTCAAGTATATCAAAACATTAATCCACCCACCTGTGCATTTTCCAGAAAATGTCTATTTCTATTCAGAATAATGAAAAGGTCCACGTGTCCTCAATGAGTGTGAAAAGAATGATTGTCAACACCACACCCTCTCTAAAGTCATCACCCCGTTAGATCCCAAGTACGTGATCCAGGTTGTCCCCTATTTCAGCTCTTTGTTTTCTTCCTAACACTCTTCAAGGTTTGCGCTAGATTGACTATTCTCTTCATCTAAGATAGAAGCTCTCCGAATCCTCTTCACTGTCCAGCATGGGTCCAATATTCAGTAAACATCCATCTGAGGGCTGACTGTGAAAGGTGGTTTGGGTTCAAGTTAACAAGCAACACAGTTAGGTGGTGGAGAAGGGAGAATCCAAAATGAGGAACTAAGCCTGGTCCCCTGTCTGCCATCAGTTGATTGAATGACGTCCATCAAACTCCTTCACTTCTCTGAGTCTCAGTTTCCGCATCTGATGATGAGGGAGATTGACTCAGAGATTTTCAAAGAAGTATCCTGACTTTAGTGTGCCAGATTCTAAGTTTATCTGATTGTAGTTCTGTAGAGAAGACTTCCCTGAGGAGGTGACATTGAAGCAGAGAACTCAAAGAAGAAATGGGACCAGTGAAGGAGTTAATGGGAGGAAGAGGAGACAGTGAGAACAGATGTTTCAGGCAATGATGATTCCTGAGACCCACCTTGGTTCTATTTCTCATTCGCTCACCTCCGGTTGACCTTCACCTTGAGGACTGGATGGATGCTTCCCACACTTGTTTTACATGCTTTTCAAAAAGTAAAACTCGTCCTTATATCCCTTAGGGAAGGGAAACTCAGCATCATAATTCCAAAGGAAATCACTAAATTACTAGATTACTAAATTCCCTTTGCACATAAATGTTCATCATCAATTTTCTTGGCACCTAGACCCTACACAATGTCTTATATTTTCTATCCAGCTTTTATATTAGGAGCCAAATTGGGAAAAGGAGAGACCCTTTAAACTTGAGATCTAGGAATTCAAAGTGGGAGCCCTTTATTATCACATAGAAATCTTTGTTTTTAATAATGTGGCCCAAAAGAACTTCTAAAAATGGTGCGATGTGCTTTATGGTTGTTGTTACTGTCTCTAGCAGTAATATTATTTCATTTGTATCCAGTGTTTAGCACACACAGTTGAATTGTGAAATGTATTTTCAAGTGTCACTTCAATCTCTTTAGGCATAACAAGAGACCTTGATTCACCTACTACTAAGTCCTGGGCCCTTTAAAAGGTCAAATAGCACCGTGTAAAATCTTTGAAATTAGACAGAACTTGAGACTTCCACAAGTCCATAGACTATACTCTGAGAACCACTGCTCTGAGTAAAAGATTTTCCCTATATCTAACCAAACTCTCCTATGCTTCAACTTATTGGCCAGTTACTACCCTTGTGAAAGAGATTTTAGCTTACTATTTGGACAGTAGATGGTACAAAGCCACTGTGACACAAGGGAAAATAACTGCTTTTCTTCTAGGGTGTTGACTGGACCCTGAAAATTAAGGCCTTCATTCTAAACACTACCTTGACAGATGGCAGAATAATGTTTGGGGACCACATTATCGCAGGTCAATTTGAAGCTTATACAAACACTTCAGATGTCATAGTCACACCCATAGCTGTATTGGTGAGTTTTAATAAGCCAAAGTCCACTGATTTTGGTGGAACAAGAGTGGTTTTGTCTATATGGGAAGATAGCTGAATTTTTCACTTTCAAATCATTGTCTTGGTACCCACCAGAACCACAGTGGGGCTGTGGCATTAGCCGGAGCCTAGGCTGACATCCTCACTGTTAGACTTAAGACAAAATTAACATCCTAAAGCTCCCTTCCCATCTAAAGTCATCCGCAGAAAGCTCCAAACTCCTTAGACCGGCCTTCAAGGCTCTCTCCTGCCGGCCCCAGTGCGTCTCTCCCTTCTCCCACTGACCCCCGTGTCGGTCTTTGGCTCCAGCCACGCCTGCATCCTTGCTGTGTCTCGAACGTGCCTCACTTTGCCGGCGCTGCCTCCTGAAAGGCCTTCTCCCCTGTCTGACCATGCTCCGAGGTCAGGGCTCAGTTCTGGCTCCCCGTCACCGGCCTCCCTCCTCTGTGCAGCTCCATCCCTTGAGTCTGCATCGCTTACTCGGGCTCGCCTTAATGACTAGGACAGCAAATATTTGTTGGAATAATGAATGCTTTAGGAAACAGGTTGGTTTCCATAACAACCCAAATAGCAGTGGGGATTCCTGGACTGGAGCCGACAAGCAGGTCTTTGCGGCCGTAGCCCTTTCTCCTAGGATGGTTTTCAGGTTAATTAGGAGCCTCATCAGATGCTCCCTTCTCACTGGGAACCAGCAACAGTGTTTTCTCCCTGAGCTGGTTCTGTTCCTTGCTCGTTTGCAAGGTAATAGTTACCAGTAGGAGCTGGTACAACATGGACCGCCACGTGAGTGTGCAAATGTTCGGGGAAGGGTACCGTCCACACCAAAGGGAGAAGGAAAGCAAGAGCCCGGTTGACCCTTTGAATAGCCTGTGAATATGGCCTCCTTGTTCATGAAGAAAGCAGTTCAGTAGCTGTTTTTAGAGAAATACCTTTCAAGGACAAAGAAGGGATCCCCCAGGTAGGACCAGATGATCAAAAGGATTGAAAACGCTTCTGTGGACTTTGATTGTTCACACACGAGATGTAAGACCCTGCGCTGATGTCCAGCCCTCAGACCTGGCCACCACTAAAGACAGAAAATTATTTGGAAAATGTAAAAATATCCTTTCCAGAGCCTCATTACGGCCCACTCACAGGCTCCTACACTTTTCCACAAGCTTTTCTGGTACATTTCTTTCCTTTTATCTTTCTTTTTTTTTAAATCTCTTGATCATTATCTTGCTATAGGCCAATTTGTTTTGACTTCTTTTTCCCTTCTCCATTTTTCATTGCCTGCCTGTGCCCACATGATGACAGAACCTGCATTCCGCTCATTTAAATCCAAAGCCTTGATAGAAGTGCCCCGACTTGGACACACAGCTGGTGTTTCGGGTGAGGTGTGCTGTTAGTGGCATATGATCAAGGCCTCACTCAGAGGCCGTCGCTCTCAGGGTGCCAGGGACACAGATGGCCTTGTGTACGCTGGCACTGGTGCTGTGATAAACAGTGTTTAAGGAGTGAGCTCTGGTAGGTATTTTGACAATAGTTTATGTCGACCTGTACATGTTTAACCACTGGGCAAACAGTCCTGTTTATTTTCCTGAGGAAAACTGGAGAAATGAAGAGTTTTTCTTAACACTCAATTTTACAATACCTGTCATTAGCTCATCATAGCACTGTTGTCTTTTCATTATTGCCTTATTGTTGAAGAATTATGCTGATTTCACCCCCCCCAGGCAATATAGAAATGATGATTTCATGAGGTATCGATCGATAAACATACAGGACTATCTTATACATCTAAAGAAAAGTATCATGGCAATTATAAAATCCATAGGAATACAGTATCTTATCTGATGACTGCTGGAATAGGGAATGAAAAAATATGTTTTGCACACATATTACTTAATTAACAGATGAAGTGATTCTGTATGATGATTGCAGAACACAATGGAGAAAAAGCTTATTAGCATTTCCTAATGTGAGCCACAGTGCTACCAATTACACTTACAGTGTTTTAAATTGTTTGGCACATAGAAGTGGATCAAAACCAGCAAAATATCCAGTTACATAAAAAATATAGCCTGATGACCTGCTGGGCTTGGGCGATCCTTCCACCTCAGCCTTCTGAGTAGCCAAAATTACAGGCATGCGCTACCACACCCGGCTGATTTTTTTTATTTATTGTAGAGATGAGGTCTCGTCAAGTTGCCCAGGCAGGTCTCGAACCCGCGGGCTCAGGCAATCCACTCACCTCAGCTTCCCAAAGCGCGGGATTACAGGCTGAGGCACTGAGCCCGGCTTGACCCTTATTTTCTTACTCCTTGTCACGCTTCTACTATAGCCTTTGTGACATTAAGACCTCATGAACCGGGTATATTTTCCTGGGAATGGCCTGTTGTTCATCTAGACCAGAAATTCTCCTACTGTATGTATTCTTTGGTGTTCTAAAGTTTCTTATGAGAAATTAAAGTTGATTTTAGTACCTTCTATAGCTTTTGGATGGCAACTTTTAAATTCTAGTACCATTACTATGTTGATTTTTAAAAGTATCCACTT